CACACACTCTTTGTCTCACCGTGTCGTTGACGTAGAAGGCTCCGTCCTGGTTGCCCGCGGTGATGTTGTAGGTCAGCAGCGCGTTGGGTCCGCTGTCTGCGTCTCGCGCTTGGACCCTGGCCACCGAGGTGTGAACGGCGGCGCCTTCACTCACACTAGTGTTGTACGGCAGGTTCAGGAGGACTGGGTCGTTGTCGTTGATGTCTCGCACATTGACCCCCACCAACACCTGGAGAAAACAAGGTTAGGCCAGTTCACAGTAACTCATATTTAGTCCACAAAACCAACTAATATTTTGTCTACAAATTATGCCAAAAAGACACTGTGCAAAACAACTTCTCGAAGCTCTGTGCAGCTCTTTAACCTACAGCACAGAAGTTAAGCTTGAAAGGTCATGGGTAAGGATATGGTGTGAGTATGTGGCTGCTAGCGGGTGTGTGTGTTAGTGTAATAAAAGCACACCGAGCTGTTGCGAGACGGGGTGCCCAGGTCTCGCGCTGTGACAGTGATGTTATAGAAGGCTGTCGTTTCTCTGTCCAGCTCCACGTCCTTCCTGACTCGCAGCTCGCCCTCCACCGGGGACACCGTGAACTCACCTGACAGAGAGACAGAGACAAAAGGCTCAGAGACCCGTATGGTGTGGATTTAATAGCAGATCACCTTCTTCACTGAACAATCCGGCACTGACTCTGGGGATCTCCACCGGTGATGCTGTACTCCACTTTGCCGTTGAGCCCAGAGTCTTCATCGATGGCTCTGAGAGTCCAGACTCGAGGTCCTGGCTGACCCTCAGTCACCTCAAAGGGACCCTCAAAGGCTCTTGGGAAAGTGGGCGTCACATCGTTCACGTCTAGGACATTTACTTGGACCTAACAGAAGGAGGGAGAGGGAGTTTTAACAACCACTGCGATGAGATTACATGTACACTGTGAGTAGGAAGAAACAGCAAACACACAACATAATTTTGTTGTGGACTCATAAGGTTTTAATCTGCTTGTTGGATGTCGAAACATCAACAGAACCGATGGGAAAGTCTAAGGATTGGTTTGGGTGTTTTTTTATTATCTAGTTTTGGCATTCCATCTTTATTTATTTTATGTGTTTAAAAAAAGATTTTTCCTGCAAAGACTTTTTTTTCATGTTGTTTTTAGAACACATTTGAAAGGGTTGTAACTGAGAATTACTGTAATCTAATCCTTTCTTTTTCTTCAAATAAATCCATTGAATGCTTGGTTTAGGAAATAGTAAAGAAATAGAAAAGAACGGTCATTAAACGTTTCCAAGTAGATGTGTCAAAAATGTGTCAAAATGACAAATACATGCAAAAAAAAAAAAAAAAATCTTTTAATGTGAGATGCAACCAGCAAATGTTTGGCTTGTTGACTTCATACGTACATGAATGCTTAGCTGTTGATCAACTAATTGATTAATAATTGAATAGTTTCAGCTCCATTTTTACCCTATTTTTTAAGTCATAATCAAAATAAAGCAGTGTGTCTCATGTGCATAATTACCGTTGTGCTGGATGTCAAGCGGAGAGCAGGCTTTGGACACTGATCCGTAGCTGTGACGACCAGCGCGTAGTGTCCGTTGCTGATCTCATAGTCCAGCTCCTTCACGGCTGTAATTCTCCCCTAAATGCACGCGCACACACACTCACACGGGTTAATGAAATGCCTTATTTGTGCAGAGTTAACACACCACAACAACATTGATCATGTCTCACCGTGATGTTGTTTATATTAAAGGTCTGGATCAGGTTTCCTTTAGCAATGGCATATCTTAAGGTGCCGTTCAAACCCTCATCGGGGTCAATGGCGGTTACCGTGGCGATGGTGGCCCCCACGGTTTCCGGTCCCTCGCTCAGCACTGTGACGTAGTCCTCCTCGGGAAATTCCGGGGCGTTGTCGTTCTCATCCACAATGTGAACGTAGATGGTGGTTGAAGTCTGTGTGAGAAACAGAGGCACGTTTTTAAAACCTCATCTGCTGACAATACGGGTTTCGCTTGTCAGGGAAAATGTGTATCAGACATGAAATGCATGATGTGTTCTGTTCTCATCGTTTGGTATTGTGACGGGGCACAGAATCCTTCACACTTGACGTGCCTTATTGTGAGGAGGATTGATGTGTCTCAAGGTTGAAACAATGTAGAGGTCTTCTTCTTGTCTCTTGGATGCAATTCCGACTAAGCTGCTTAAGGAAGTTTTTCCTTTAGTCAGCATGTCTTTACTAGATATTATAAATCGGTCTTTGTTGACAGAACATGTACCACAGTCCTTCAAGGTAGCTGTAATTAAAGCTTGTCTTAAACCTGTTCTCGCTCCAGAGGTGTTGGCTAACTACAGACCTATCTCTAATCTTCCCTTTCTCTCTAAGATCCTTGAGAAATCCGTCGCAAATAAATTATGTGATCTTCTACTTGCATCGGATCAAGGACTCATCTTTTTTCTTATCTTGCTGGACCTCAGGAACAGCACTTAGCTGGTTTAAATCCTATTTATTGGATCGATCTCAGTTTGTGCTTGTAAACGGTGAATCCTCGAAGACCACCAATGTTGGTCACGGAGTCCCACAAGGTTCTGTACTTGGACCGATTTCATTTACCCTCTATATGCTTCGTTTGGGCGATCTTACCAGGAAACACTGCATAAACTTGTTATGCAGACGATACTCAACTGTATCGGCCAAACAAACCAGAAGAGACCGACCAGCTTGTTAGACTTCAAGAATGTCTTTGAGACATCAAAACTTGGATGACCGGCAACTTCCTGATGCTAAACTCAGAAAAACAGACGTTATCTTGATAGGCACAGAGCGCCTTCGAAGTCAGCTGTCACGTGATACACATTTTATAGATGGAATTGTTCTGGTACCCAGCAGCACTGGAGTTCTCTTCGACCAGGATATGACCTTCAACATCAGAAACTTTCTGTCTCAAAGTGATGCAGAAAAATGTGTTCATGCGTTTGTTACTTCCAGACTGGACTACTGTAATTCTTTGTTATCAGGCTGCTCTTGTAAATCTCTTAAGCCTCTTCAGTTGATTCAGAATGCTGCAGCACGTGTATTAACAAGAACTAAGAAAAGGGATCATATTACTCCTGTATTAACTTCTCTGCACTGGCTCCCTGTTAAATCAAGAATAGATTTAGGTACTTCTCCTCACCTACAGGGCACTTGCTGGTGAGGCACCGTTGTATCTTAAAGAGCTTGTAACACCTTATTGCCCTACAAGCCAGCTGCGCTCCATAGATGCTGGGTTACTTGTTGTTCCTATGGTTTTAAAAAGTAGGCTGGGGGTCAGAGCCTTCAGTTACCAAGCTCCTCTTTTGTGGAACCAGCTTCCGCTTTCAGTCCGGGGGGCAGATTCGGTCAGCTCTTTTAAAGTAAAACTTAAAACTGTCCTCTTCGATTCTGCCTACAGTTAGGGCTGGCTCAGGTTAGCCTGGACCAGCCCTTAGTTAAGCTGCTATAGGCTTAGACTGCCGGGGGACTTCGTAGGACACATTAATATATTAATAATATATAAATATTATTAATGCAAATGACTAATTCAGTTTCTTTCCGGGAGTTTTTTGTGCTTTATCCCCTAGCAGGTCTCCGTAGATCGTAGTTCCTTCTGGACCCTGGTCCTGACACCTGCCATGGCCCTGCTAATGCCTGCTGCTGCCATCATCATCATTATTATTTTAGATATTGATCATATTACTGTCATCATAAAGCAACATTACCCTCTCCTAAAGTCTCTGTGCTCTCCCTCCCCACAGGCTTCTGTGGATGGTGGTTCTATCTGATGGTGGTTGTCCCTGCAGTGGTCCTGCCGTGCGCCTGGCTTACTACTCACAATTACTTGAATCATTTCTGTCACAGGATTTGCATGTATTATACATTGTTCATTCTGTACACATGGCATCCATTGTAGTCTGTCCATCCTGGGAGTGGGAAGAGAACGTCAGAGTTCTCTCCCCTTTTTTCCCCATGGAAGGGTATTTCATTTTTGGGGGAGTTTTTCCTGTGCCGATGTGTGGGTTTCGGGAGAGAGGATGTCGTATGTGTACAGACTGTAAAGCCCTCCGAGGGGCTATACAAAATAAAATTTATTGAATTGAGGTCTGGACCAATCTGGCTGCAACAAACATTAAATTGTGGACAATTGTTTTTTATTCCTCTGTGACGATCGGCTGGATGTAGGTTTTCCCAGCGTGAAGTGTCAGCTGGAGTGTAAATTTTACTTTCATAGTCCATTAATCATAATGATGCTGAAAGATCTAGCTGTGATTAATCATTTGAGAGAAAAAGGGCGAACCCAACAAAAAAACACATCAGCAAGTACATCTGGTAATTCCTGTTTGCTCTTTTGTAATAACAACTACACAAATAATATGTCAATCATCAGTAATTCCCCTAAACACCTGTCTCTCTACAGATGCTGCAGCCACTCCAGCACATAGAGAAGGCACACACATGTCTTCAATTATGATGTGCATGTTTAATATCAGGGTTCTCCTCATAAAAACAATGAAAGATTCTGATACAAATGGCAAATTACTGCTGTTTGGAACTACGGTTGAGTGTTGAGTCAGTTCCTGCTCCACCAGTTGGACCTACCAGCTCCAACTGGTTAAAGAGGCCGTTGGAATTTCACAATATTATCTCCGCATCAGCTGTTAGCGGTTTGTGTGTGTGTATGTATATGCAAATTGTGCTGAGAACATATACATTCACGTTTGTAATATAGCTGAGTTTTCAATCAAGAGGGAACAGAACCAGAACACGAAAGAAACAATAAAGTACAAATTCTGCAACGACTAAACACTATAATAACAATTGCTAAACTTGCAGAACCATATATATATATATATATGTGTGTATAGTTGATTTATTATGATGTTTATCTGCAATACTCGTGGGGGCTGGCAGAGAGAGAGAGAGAGAGCGCGAGAGGGGGGAGTGACAGCAGGGGGAGGAGTGTGTTGCATCACGGTGTTTTGCGCACAGAGCGTGGGGTCCAGTCTACGTGGTTCCGGGAGAGAGACGCGTTGCAGGCTGGATATCTACAGTCACTCTTGTTTGCTCAGCGTGCAGCCATGGAGCGAGGATCAGCGTGTCGGACGTCCCTCTTCTGGATCTCGGTTGTGTTTTACGTCGCTGGAGGTAAGCCCGGGGGGACTTGTCTCTGGAGAGACAACTTGTGAACGTCTGCCTTTGAGTGACAGCCGGCTGGATGTGATGATGGGGAAGATACTCGCGCTCAGCGCCGGGTTAAGGGGAACCAACCCGCCGTTAGTCTGAACGCGCTGTAACGGGCTGTAAAGTCACCAGCGGACTGTCTCGTGCTTTGTTTTGAAAACTTCGCGATTCAACAAAAATACGTGTTTTGTTGTTGACATTTTCGGAGCGTCAACAAGGCCGTTCGGTCTTTATTTGCTGTTGTTGTTGTTTTTGAGAGCGAACATCTGGTGTGAAGCCGCTCCAAAGCCCCACCCAGGGGACGCGGCGGGGTGTAAACGCGCGTCATGGTCCGCTCGGAGAGTCTTCACTAAACAGCCACAAATTGGTGGGGGAGTCGTCGACGTTTTTGGACTTGCAGAGTCTTAAAATGCACTAAAGCGTGAAGCACCGGGCGCGCGTGAAATCCCGCTGCGGGAACTTTCCGAACGCTGCGCGCGCCTGCGCACGGCTGTTTTGGTGACCTATACATTCATGCAAACATTCAAATCAAATAAAAAAAACATGGTACATTTTCACGGTGTCGAAGGAACACGTTGGCGGTGCTGCCTCGATAAAGGGACTCTTTCTTATTCTTGAAGTTTAGGCGCAGGAGGAGGCGGCAGAAGCAGCTGTTGCCTCCGGGGCGCACGGTGCTTCAATTCAAACGCCCCGGAAACCCTGCAGAGGTTTTCAGCTTTAAGATTTAGATAAACTACTAAACTCACATGTTTACACATAAGTACGTCAACTGGTGACCCATCCTGCACAATAATGGTTATTTATTATACAAAACAGGTTTAGTTTTGAAATGTTTGTAGCCCAGTTTTCTAAGTATATTCAGTTTTCAAATATCCTGCACACACAGGCCTTTCAAACTCAGAGGCCCCAGAAACAGATCCAATAGGCTGGTCTAACTTTAGAACTGCTCCCTTCAGCCCTCTTGTGTCTTTTGGGTTTGTTAGTTTCCTTCCTCTAAGCCCACGATGAAAACAGCCATTTGTGCTGCTGCCAATAATGTGTTTCTCCTCCACAAAAGTGGACTAGAGATAAACAGAGCGATAATCAGCGCCTCGGCCCTTTCCTCTCGGTCTAGATAAGCACTTAGCCCCCTATGGAGGACAATGGCACTTTCCCAAAACGGTTAATAAACGGCACACAGGATGCGGCTGCTCCTTCTTTCTGTCTCGGCCACTTTCTTGTCCTGCTGTGACAGTTTGTCTCGCTCATTGATCCCCTGTCCTAAATGAACACATCATTATTAGGGTGTAGTGATAAAACGAAGGGACTAGCAGTCAGCAAGTGTGTTGATGTGCAGCAGCAGTGTGGGCACAAACTGCACGAGAGGAAGGGGAGCTCCCCAGTCCTTCCATGGCTCTCTGTGTTATCACCTTTTTAGTTGTTTGACATTTATAGCGGTTCTTCTTTTAATATTTGATGTGAGGCAAGTGAGAGAAGGTAAAGACTGGGAAAACACCGCTGGCCTTCATTTCCTCCATTAAGGATGTCGCTCCCACACTGATTGCACTGATTGCATTGTGCATTGAGCTTCACGCGTGGCGTCTTCTAGGTCACGATAATCAGCAACATAGGTGTAAACATAGGAAACTTTTAATATGAACTGTTTAACAGTATCGTACTAGTATGAAAATTGCAAAATGAGCCAAAAAGAGGGAGGGTGCAGACTAGTGTCTAATAATTAAATCACTTTAAATTAAGTAATTGTGAAATTTCAGCTGCATTGTTGCTGGAGCTCAACAAAGAAATGATGGAGTAATGATGTTTGTAACATTGTCTTTACACAATCATTTAGTGATGTCGGTAAATGTATGAAATAGATTTAGAGGAAGAGGAAGGTTGCGACTGGCACGGAGTGTTTCAAACCAGGGTTAGGATTAGTTTATCGCCGATTGGCTCCCAAGCTGAAAGACAGTGAATGAAAGTAATCTCATGTCGCCGATTCCTGAGCAGAGTTTCTTCACTGACCCTGAACCGCCTCCCTGAGGACTAGGTAGGGTCTGACGGGGCACATACTAACACTTCCTGTTACTGAGAAGATGGCTAATGGTTGTTATGCCAAGAGCTTCAACTGAAACTCTCATACTTTCTTAGTGTGTTTGTGGAGAGACTAATCCGGGATCCTCCTGCTGGTTTCATTTACACCCTGTAATGGGCTGGATAATCATTACCATTACAGTAGGTGTGAAAGAGGGTGGAGTCTGAAGTGTGTGTGTTTGTACAAACACAGGTAGAGAACTGAAAGGATACCAGATTTTCCAGTCAGGTATGTTCAATAGTTGTCAATTGTATCGGCACTTCTTCACTACAGAAGAAGAATTAGATATACTGTTGCAGAAAAGTTGGTAGGTTGTGATGGTTGTACGTAGTGTCATGTAAGGAGATATGAAGGCATGTGTAATTAATTTGCACAGGCTCGGCTGTATGTCTGAATGTAAGAAAGCTGTCAGATGCAACAAATCCCAAACAGGTGGCATTCTGGCTCAAAACAAAGGAGGGCCTGTGTCGGGGCCCTGGGGGGCTATCAGGATCCTGAGAACAGAGATCAGAGAAGGAAACTTAGATCCATAATAGAGCCAAAAGACAGATGTCTTGTTTCAAGTCGGTTCCAGACTCGGGACAGAGATAGCTGTCAGTCGTTACCTGGTTGCCGTCACATCCAGACGGCTCAGACAGTGCTGACGCCTCGTCAAATTGACACTGAATACGGCACAAATCTATCTCCTTTTATAAGGCGAGAGAAACCGCTGAGGAACCGCTGAGCTGAGGCAGGACGGCAGGGCGGGTGTGAAACGGGAGAACAGAAGGGCTTCCCCTCCTATTGTCCCAGGGAAATATATTGGTAGTGCAAAAAAACATCAATTTCCTCCTTCATTATACAGTGCATGCAACAAACCTGCTGCTATGCTGCTCTCCCTGGGTTTAAACTTCCCGTGACGCACAGCATGTGTTTTGACTTTGACGGCAGACAGAACACACCTGTAGTGACATCATCACTGAGATGAGGTACGGGTCAGGGGGCAGCCTGTTTGAAATGATCAGCCCACAGGGAGCCGTACAACATCAGCTGTGGCCCTTCACATTCCGCTTCAAGTAACGAGGAGGAGGAGGAGGGGAAGCCATGTCGACGACTCAGATGCTGATCAATGGTGCAACTGCAAATAATGCATACTTGCTTGCATATATTTCTTCCACTGCACTACACCCCCACACATTTTCACACTCACTGACACGGCCTTCCTGAGTTCCCCGCATTTGTAAATGCTGAACCACAATCTGTTCCAGCCAGCGGATGGTTGTGATCTATCAAAGCAGACGAGGCCGGAGTTGTGGTGTTGTTTTACATGCAGGATTTATAGAAAGCCATTGGGTGTGTTGATGCCGCACTACGGACTGTGTGGTTTATGATGTGTCTGCAACAGGTTGTTTGTTTAGTTTGTAGGAAGTAGAGTGTGGCATCAGACTGCTTAGCCTGAGGATGGGTTTGTTTTGTTGTGTTATGGCAATGAGACAGTGCTAGACAGAACAGGATGCCGTTTAATGTGCCCTGTATATATTCCAGGAACTGATCAACGCTGACACTACACATTTCCACGAGATCTTGTGTGCATGGGTTTGAATCTCTCTCACTGACTGAGAGAATCATGTGCTGTCTTTAACCCTCGAACAAATATATGCAGAACAGGAAACAAACTGCAGAAATAGTCCACAGGAAACCGTCTGACTTGATTGGTAGTTTCAATGATTTGTTTTTAAACTCAAGTTATGTTTGCCAGCACACTCAAATTATGCAAACGCTTCAACTTCAGAAAAAGTAGCTGCCACTTCCGTCAGAGTAATGGTATTTTTTTTTACTTACTCATCTCTTTCCTCTGGCTTTTATTTGTGATCTTTAGGGATCTGTCTGCCCTGGGTGGGCTTCTCACACACACACATTTCTACTGTCTACAAATCCCAGCTACTTTACTAGGATTGACTTTCTTTAACAAAAAAAATGTATCTTCTATCCAAAACCTTTGTGTGGTAAAAACAGTGAAACGCACCCAAGAGGACAGCTGAAGGTCGAAGGTCAGGACATATACTGTTGTATTTGTTACATACTCTCTACCATACTTGTCTATTCTCTCTAGGTAAATGCGACGTGTCCCACGCCCACTCCACTCTAAGTGTTTCCGTCCCCCACCTGTACTACACCTGTCCCGAGGGGGCGACCGTCAAACTGGTGTGTGACCAGCAAGGGGCCACCTTGCACCACACTGATGCCCTGAAGCGTAGCTGGCTTTTCACGCCCCACAGCGACCAGCGCTGCAAGGGACCGGCGGGCCCACGCCACACGACCATAGGCCATTCACGTGGAAACCGCAGCCTGCCGGCGGGGTTGCAGTATGGATCTGCAGAGCACCACTTCTGGGTGATTTTGCAGAATGTGACCCACTCTGACCAGGGACGCTACTGCTGCATGCTGCTAGACTTCCAGCTGGAACACAAACACGCCGCCCTCGTGCAGAAACCCCACAGCCACGTCATCCTCCATGTGACACCACGTAAGGACTTCAAATGCGTGGCTGTGAATGTGTATTAACGGTCGTACCCTGAGGTGATGCTAGCTGGAGCAATTAGCAGGCAGACACCCAAACCGATCTGTTTTGCTCTCTTTGCAGGGAGAAATGGGTCTCAAGACTGCACTGTCTGGGATCCAACACCAGCAGGAGGTATGTCACCTTATTGAAGGCTTTAATGCCAACCAAGGACTAGCCAGTTACTGTGTTTATTTACCTCAGTCTCTCTGTTGCTTCCCCAGGCTCCGTGCCAGTGGCCTTGGCCGTAGCAGCCTGCATCTTGGCCCTGCTGTCATTGCCTCTCATTCTGGTGCTTGTGTACAAACAGAGGCAGAACTCCCATTCAAGCAGGCGTACGTAATACTTAATAAGCACACGCGCACTTATTCCCACGTCCATGCTGCATAAATGTCTCACACCGGGTTCCCTATGGTGTTTTTGTCGGACACATATTTCCTGTCTATGAGGAGGATTGACTGTATTGCACACAGTAGGAAGTGCATTCACTCATATTCATATTCACAATGGCCCATTTCCCGCTTCCTCTCTCCCAGGTGCACAAGAGCTGGTGAGGATGGACAGGTACGTTTTCCCACAGTCCGTCAGGCAGCTGCTTTCATAACACAGCTGCTCTTTAGACTGAATACATGGATATTCCTCTGTGAAGTGGCCACAACACGTCTTACACTAAAGGGGGTTTCACACACAAAACATGACGAGACCATAGTACAACTCTGAATAATTAACTCGTGTTCACCAAAGATCTACAAATAGCTTCAAAACATTTATGAATCATCACTCACTACATTTATTTTGGGCACACAGTCTTAATTACTACACACCAAAAAACAGCCACAGTCTTAACACTGTACCGTGTGTTGTGTGGTACTGGAATGCATTTTGTGGAAAGGTTATTTACTTTACAGCACAATGTGCGACTCGTGTAAATGAACATGTGGAGATTCTAAACATCTTGAGCAACAGGTGAATGTTGAAACAGTTTATTGAGTCATATTGGCAGTGTTTTAGTCATCGCTGCGCTTCCCTTTCTTGTGCGTGCGTGTGTGTTTGCAGTGAGGCTCAAGGCCACGAAAACCCTGTGTTCCTTGGGGGATCGCCGCAGATAAAGACCCGCACGGTTTCTCAGATAATGACCAGGCAGTCCTCAGAGACAGGGCGCCACCTGTTGTCTGAGCCAGGGACCCCCCTCTCTCCTCCTGCACACGGGGACGTATTCTTTCCAATGGAGGGTAGGACGCGCACCCCCCCCCCCACACACACACACAACCCTGTACATCCTGACAACAACGCTGCATGCTCAACGAAATTGAGTTCATAAAACAACGTGGACTCTGAATTCCCCCCAGCAAAGGACGGGATACACGACTCCGTGGGTGTCTTTCAGTGAAGGAGTGAGCTTGCTCATTGCCTTGTTAACTACATTCTGAATGCATAGACCCGACTCCTTTGACATGCTGGTCTGACACTAAGGACAATGTACTTAAGTAGTGGCACGTAACAGTGTTGCACAAGGACAGATTTCCTAATGTACATGCAGTATGGTCAAATCCTCTGATGAAACCAAAGAACAACCATGGCTGCGTCAGTTTTAGCTGAAACATCCCGTGTGCGGTCAAAGTGTCAGAGCAAAGAATGGTGACATTCTTGAACAGCTGGGTTGAGTCAGAAAAGCATTTTCTGCGTGGGGAGTTTACATTCTCTCCCAAACACCAGTGAAACCACCTCCTTATGTTGTCACCCTCTTCATTCTTCTTTTGCCTCACTCACAAGTCATTTTCCACCCTCAGGCACTAATGGTCCCTTCGGCCGTTCTCTCCGACTCCACTTGAAATAATACTGAAACATTAGTTACGGTGAAGGGGTTCAATCCTGAGTGTTTTCCTACCAATTCCCGAGGCAGACATTCCAGGCATACTGAGGTGGATTGAGACATGGTACTCCTATGACCTGTCACATCTGGGAAAAGTCTATGAAACACCTATTGGAACGTGACATGATCAGCAAAAACAGAGGATGAAACTGGGCCACCCACACTTGGAGACACAGACAGTAATGAGTAATGTGACCAGGTAACTTCTGATAATGGTAATGAACAGATGCAATATTCATCTCAAATTGCAGAACTGTTCCTCCTCTAAAGAGTGCAAGGACTATTGATGTAATCATCTACAACCCAAGAAAACCTCAATATGTGTTGCACCCGTCACAGTGGATTTTCCAGTTGGAAACCATTTCCCTTCAATAGTCTACAAAATTTATATTGAATACCAAACCTGGTTTCTAGCCTGAGGTTTGTTGTTACATCTCGGAAAGCCACACTTTGGGTTCCTTGTTCATCTTTTTCTGACCGTTGACCTTTAGCTGAGAGGAATTTAACACAAAGCAGTTCCGCCTAATCTTCAATATGTCGCAACTTCAACTTGAGTTCTTCTGCTTTTTAATCGGTTCCCAGCTAAACACAGAAATCTATCTGTCATTCTGTGTGCATATATCATTTTTTCTGCCTTTCCCTATAGGCAGGAACTACAATTGTTAATTCTTTCATGTCTAAATTTACGCACACAAACATGAAATGTGCGCTCGAGCCGATTGATGCATGTGGATTACTCGCTATGTTTCTCATGCTGTCACTGACCTGCGCTGTTCTCTGTTCCAGACACCATCCCCGAGTCTCCGGACTTCCTGCAGATTTAGACGGGTTGGAACCTTGTGCATTGCTCTGACTGCTGACCTGGAAATAGTCCTGCAACCCTCTTTCCTCTGCCTCCAAAGTGATGTGGGCCTTATCAGCTGCCTCATAATAACTTCTGCTGGATTCTAGTCCGCAAATTGTCTGGACCGCAGGAGGGAACGGACTGCCTTTTCTTACTCAAAAACGTTTTCCACCAGACACAGCAGCTGCAGGCCAACTTGTGCCGTGGCAGGGTCGCTCTGCGCTCTGACAATGACCAACAGGGGCCGTTTCTTGAAACAAATACAGAGTGCTGAGGGTGGGGGCCCCGTCATGGGCTGAGGTGGCAGGTCAAGAGATATTAAACAGTGCTGTGGACTTAAACTCATTCAAAGGAAGAGTCTGGTTCACCGTGGGCCGTTATGTAGTTCAAACCAAAGAGCTGCCCCCGTACTCTGGAATTGGTTGATTTGCGGCGTGTAACGCATAGCAAGCCATCTGCACGATCAAGTGCGTGAACAATAATAGAATATATATTATATATATTCGCTGACAACATATCAATTGGTAACTGCAGAAAAAGAACTGAATGATCCGTCGGTCCCTGTGAAACCAGGTTAACACATCTCGCTCCAGTTGTATTGCGTCAGTGGAAACCCAAACGTCGTCCTCCCCGTCATTGTAACAAAGTGCTCTCACAGGGAGGCTCATTGGTCGGAGAGCTCTCTACCGTGTTTGTTTCATTACACTGTTCCTCTGTGTCATACCCACTTGGCCTCGGCTTCTTTTCTCTTCCCTCTTTGCTACCTCAGTTACTGGCCGCTCTGCTGCTCTCAATACTCCCCTTCCTTCTTGTACTCACAAACGCAGCACTTCACAGCGGCCTTAAATCTATACGAGCATGCGGAAGTGTTTAGAAAATAATTATTGATTCTGACAGTGGATGTCATTTAAAGTTGATTACAAATAATGTTTATTCATTTTCTCTTCTCTTCTCTGAATGTATCGCAACCACTCTTAATCACTGCCACCGCAACAATCCTTTTTGCTCCGATATAACGTGTTTGGATTTGATTGATCGAGTACATTAGTGCTCATTCCCATTAGTTTTAAAGTGCAATTTGATGTTAATAAGTAAATGCTATTCAGCAGGTGTGGAGGAATGGAAATGGAATGTTGATCAAGACAAACGGAGAGAAAATAAGAAATGATTAATGATTATTAATAATTATTCATTTAGCTGTGTGAGACTGATTAAGCAGTTGTTAGCAGTTTTTCTTATTGAGGTTAAAAATGTACAGCAGGTGCTGAATCATCTCCAAAATACATGTAGCAGGTATGTAGAAAAGGATCCCATGTTTGTATCTTAATTGAAATGTAAGAACTTTGATAAGTAGTCAAAGTCTTGAATATTTGTGCCTGTGTGTGTTTGTTGTGTTTGTGGTGTGTGTTCTCAAATATCAGGTTACAGTGTCAAGAATGTGTGTTTGCATTGGTATGTAATTGTGTGTTTTATACTGTAAAAAGCTTGTATACAAATACATGGAGCAGTGCAGCAACATCATTTTTATTGCGTTTATTGCATTTAAAGTGTCCTGGTTGTGGCTTGCTTAATAAAGTGGAGCTCTTAAACCTTAAAGCCGTGTGTTCATTGTTCTTTTCGGCAGGTCTCCAAAAGTATCACCACACAAGGACGTGAGGCGCTCGCTGCCCAGGGAGCCATTACAGAAGGAACAAGGTTGTTCCACTTGTTTGCCTCTGAGATGGTGGACACCAGAGGGAGACGGGCATTCAGGGGAAAATATGATAAAGCAATCTTAGGATCTTGTTTTAGGAGAGCCTGGGAGGGGTGGTGACTGTTGCACGGTATCTTCTTTCTTCAGTACTTTTTCCATAGTTCCATAGTTGTAAATGTTACATATGTTAAAGCCAAGGCAACAACGCTCTTTTTGAAACCCTTTTGAAAACATGACTTGTGGTTTTCCTGTTTACAAGCGAAGGCGTTTCCTGTGCATTCACAGCTGAACTACCAACCTTCTACTTAATCCCAGTTCTGTATTTTGCCTTCAGGCTGGTGTACAAAGGACACACAAAAATCACATGCTTTAGGACAGGTTTCTGCATCAAACTGCTCAAAGAACAGTGTTTAGAATATTTATAGACCACAAACATGTTGGAATTGATGTTTGTCTCTCTGCTATGTGGAGATGGCTCTTTGCAGCGTTGCACCTGTTTCTGCTGCGGTTTCTTACCGACAGAGGTGGTGCACCGTCATCTTCTACAGTGACAGTGAGTCGATACTCCTGCTGGCGCTCTCGGTCGGGAGGCGCCGGCCGCGTCACCATCTCTCCGGTCACCCGGTCCATGCGGAAGGTCAGGTCTTGGTTTCCAGCGGTGATGTAGTAGAACAGCATGGCGTTGGGGCCGATGTCTTTGTCGGTCGCTATCACGCGCAGGACGGAAGTGCCTCCTCCAACATTCTACAATCAACATCATAACAGAGGCCTCATTAAGGTGGAATAGACACTGAACTGTGATGAATAGATGAATACTATTATGCAAACGGTTGTGCGAGCGCGTCCCTACCTCACTTATACTGACGTTGTAGCCCCTCTGGCTTTCGATAACGGGTGCGTTGTCATTGATGTCCAGGATGTTGATGGTGAGGGAGTGGTCTGTGTATCTCGGAGGTGAGCCGTTGTCAATGGCACGCACCTGTAACAGCATACACATGCACTGTGTACTGCACACGAGACATAAACAAACACACGGGACAAAGAGTGTCTTCTAACAGGCCTCTACATCCAGTCTTGGTACGTCTGTGCAATATCTTGTGTTGGGAAGCCGGATGCAGGGAGCTTTCTTTTTTTATGTTAAATGGTTTTATGTGATCAGAAAACAACATTGTTTGTATTATCCAAAACTCACACAATTATATTTTACATTATTATGTTACAGCGCAGTGTCGATATATTTAGGTTAAACATGAAGTCAGGTTTGTGGTGTACATGGCCGTAGAGATTGGTGGACTGGTGCCGGACCTTAAGTAAGTAGCGGTCTACTGACTCTCTGTCCAGAGCAGCATTGACGAAAACCTCCCCGTAGGTGTCGTTCAATGTCTTGATCTTGAACACGTCCTCCATGTTGCCGGCCACCAGAGTGAAATTGACCTGCGGGAGAGTAATGAAAGAGACAAAGAGAAAGTGGGAGAGAAAGACAGACAGTGAAAGAAAAAGGTGCTTCAGTCACACACTAATAGCAACGTTGTATGAATCTTTCAATGGATGGATTCGGTTGTTCAGGTTCTTTATCTTGTATACTGTGCTAAGAATGAATGGGGAGCACAACCGACACCACATGGAATTTAAAATAAGTAAAGAAAGGGATTCCTCGAAAAGAAAAAAAGAATAAAGCAATTATAACTCAGGGACAAGAGAAGATTTAGGGAGAGAAAAATAAATACAATCCGGTTGTGTGAAGTGAAAGACAAAACGCTGATGTCGTTAACAACAATGTGCTGCGTGTAGTTTTCAGCATGTACATCTGATTGTATGAAGCATTAAAATCCATGATGCTAATCTATATTCTTGGAAATAGCTCTAGGGACTGTTTGTGTGTACACTGAGGATAACAGCAACACATAGTCAAATTAATCTAAACAACGTGTGGCCAAAATATTGTTGTTATCATGAAGAGGACAGAGATGTGTTTATTCCAACCGTCTCCATCCTTCTTCTTAATTCTCACCAGTCCATTTAATGCAGCATCTTTGTCCCTTCCCAGCACTACTGCCACTCTCTTCCCCATAGGTGTGCTCTCCAGGATGTCCACTGAAGTATCTGATGTGATGTCAAACTCCGGACTGTTGTCGTTCTCGTCCAGAATGGTGATTGACACCTGTCAAGATCAAAATACGAGCTCCATAACTTGCAACACAACAAAATACTTACCCAAATCCTCAAAATTCAAGACGCTGCAGATAAATAAATGTCATGTTGGAAATCATCTTTAAAAAACAAGTCTTACCTTCTGCACTTCCAATGAGAGATGCAATGAATAAAAGAGGAATGCCGTTAAGTTTTCTACAACAAACAAGACACAACGCGTCCTGTAACACATGTACACAAAACAAAGGTACAATAACACAATTCAGGATGAGGCATACCACGGTGGAATCTTTTTTAGGTCCTCCATCATCAGCTACAACGGTCAAGGTGTACACGTCCCCCTTCTCTCTGTCCAGCTGGCCGGTCACGGTGATGCGGCCCTGAAGCACGGCACACACATCTGCATATAACTCTGGTGCAAAGTGCAAGCATTCTGATGTGTCAGACAGTGAGTACGGATTAGAAACTAATAACTATGAAATAAACCTACAACAACAACAACAAAAGATCCTCACTTCTCATCTTTCAAAGGAATCAAATGGCTTAAAAGCCAGCGAGCTGTCTGATCAGCTCACAGTCATGCAGCAACAAGCTTGAAGAGGTGTTGTTGAATCACGCTGTGGTTAATGGACGGTTAATGACAGATGGTGGGCATAGCCTTTGAAGCGTACAACAAAAAGAGGGAGGTACATTGTGCTCACACTGTCGTTGACCTTTCCCCCACTCACCGTTACGCTGTCTATCTTGAAGAGGGCCAGAGCCGCAGGCGACGTGTCGGGGTCGAAGCGGTACGTCAACTGATTCAAGTTGTCGGCCGACTGCGCCCGAACCTGGACGACCTCTGTCCCCGTGGCGATGTTCTCACGAAGCGAGGCCTCGTAACCGGCGGAGAAGAAGGCCACGGCCTCATCTAGCTCATTGAGTAGCGTGACGTAGACGGTGCAGAATCTCTGGTGGAAAGGCGGCGCCTGGTCAGTGGCCGAGACGTTCATCAAATAGGTGGTCTTGGTCTCGTAGTCCAGGTAGTCCACAGTGGTAATCAGGCCGGTGCTCACATCCACCTCGAACTTGCGGTCTGAGCCGGACACGAGAGCGTAAGCAACAGCTCCACCATCACCTGAGCAGCAAAAGGAGAGGTGGTGGGTGCGGAAAAGCTTAGAATAATAACTTTGAACAAACGCAAAATCACTCGTAGTCCTTGTAAAATTGTTACGTGATTCCATAGTTACAACATTCAAACAATTTCCTCCATTCGATGTTATGATGAACTGTTCAGTTGTCTTTGTTATGGTATTTCTGTTTCATGCTTAGTCTTCTGGAAAATGTACGTCACACAACAAATGTATCATAACGTGTCTAAAAACACTACGGGAAGTGAATAGAGGAAGTCTGCAATGTGGAGCAGAAGTGGTTATTTAAATGCCAGTTTCAGTGAATGTTTTTTTACTGTTTGCACGGTGATTTAATAACACGATAAACATGTGGCGGTTCAGAGGTTTGATATTCCTCTTTGCACTGGCACCCACTAGTGTCAGGACTAGTGAAGCTCTAAACAAGTAAGAGGTTTAAGGCCGCAGTCAGCAAAATGTCCTTTTGTGTTTTATGTCAGGAGGATGACACAGCGGACCCCCACAGCTGATGGATCCGAGACTGGACTCACCCGTGTCAGGGTCTGTGGCACGCACCACAATCACAGAGGTGCCGATGCCAGCGGTCTCTCTCAGGCCCAGCCGGTTGTACTGTTGCTGGGTGAACACCGGTACCTCGTCATTGGCATCATCCACATATATGATCACCTGCAGGGAGAGACATTCACCCCTCAGCAGCTATACATGCATTCTTTGAGAAAATAGGTAATGCGACATGGATAAAAAATATACAGTATAGATCTATATTTATATAGGAAGACTTTTTATTTTTGCATGTATAGATCTTTTTATTATAGACTGAACAAACTACTGCTGCATAAGCCTGGGGTTGTAACTTGCACACGTTACACAGCACACTCCTCCCAAGCTCCCCTCCCCTCCCTCACCCTCACAGAGCTCCTCATGCTTCCCTCGTCACTGTTGTAGGCCACCACTTCCAGCACATGGGAGCTGCTGGTCTCTCTGTCCAGCGCCCTGGGGCCTCTTGTCACCAGCCCGGTCTGATTGTCTATGCTGAACAGATTGTTGCTGTTCCCTGAGTGCATTTGTTCACAAACACACAGACACACACAGGCCAGTAAGAGAGAGAGAGGAAGGGGAAGAGAAACAGAGCAATGAGACTTCTTCAAAAATACCCATTTCAGCGAAACATTGAATCTATTCGACCAATTGGGTGAGATAATTGGTTGCCTTCAATGCAAATTTACTTCCAGTCATTACTGGTATTTTCACTCTGACTGCATCTAGAGAAATTGCATTGGGAAGAAGAGTAATTATCATACCTACCCATGGGCAGAAAAGCTGAAATCAGTCAAATTTTGGAAACTTACTTGTGGAAATCCATTTTACCACATTTTCAAAAGCTGGATTAAAAACGCAATCAAAATAGATGTAATAATTCAACCTGGTGCATCTTGGGAGCCCATTCTCTTTTTACATTTGTAGAGCAAGGAGGCCGGGTCTCCGACCCAAGTAATGCAGCACTCACCAGTGAGGATCCTGTACAGAACTTTGCCGTTCTCCCCCTGGTCGGCATCTGTAGCTTGAACCTGTGCAGACAAACAAGCATAAAGTTTGTATAAAATAACTTCACAGGGACTCCAAACACAACCAAATCTACAACAAGTAGAAAAAAACACCTGGCTGCAGAGAATTATCATTAATCTCCCATCACAACTGTTACCATTCAACAGCTTTACTTTTTATTTTGCAGTTTGATGAAAGGAACGTCGAGCAGTCAGATCCTCATAGTCCTGGATAGAAAGTACATTCCATTCACACTTTGATTGAATCCTTGCGTTCTACCAAGAGATGGAAAAATACCACTTCTTTCTCATTCAGCACACAGCCACTTGTTGCCACAACAACAACCCCAACATGGCTCGGCAGTAAGTCTATTCCGTCAGAACTTCTTTCTCTGTCTGTGTCGCAGGCGGAGAGCCAGAACCCGGTGCAGACAGCGCGGCTCCACAGCGCGCACAGATAAATAGTGCGGCATGCTGGGCTGCTGCTGAATGGGCCGCGTCAGGAGACCGGCTCCCGGATCCAGAGAGCCGCTGGCGCCGGACGAGGCTCGTGTCATATCACTCCTCTGTGGATGTGTCAGACTCTGTGGAGAGGCCGTCAAGAGTGCGTATTCAATCGCACACACATGCATGTGCGTGAACTCCGGTGCGCAAGAAATACACAAGCACACACAATCTCTCGCTCTTGCAGCCCCCCTCCTCCTCCTCCTCCTCCTCCTTCTCCTCCTCCTCCTCCCTGTGTGTTCTTCTCTGCTCTCCTTGTGAAGAGGGGCCCAACTTCACTCTCATTAGCTTTATAAAGAGATGTGGAGAGAAGAGGAGAAAGAAGAGGAGAGGGGAGGGGGAGACAGAAGGAAAAAAAAGGGAGTCTGGGGGGTCAGATTGGGGAGTGATGAATAGGGTATTACACAGTGGACTGCACCACTTAGGCCATAAAAGGGGGTGTATGAAGTGCAGGACTAAATTGCAGAGCCAGATGTTGTAAGTGTAAGCATGTGGAGTGTGATCACAGAGAGCTTCTTCACCCGCCGTCTGCACGGCTCACAAAACAGACTATTGTCTTCGGCACCCGGGGATTAAAACAGCAGCGAGCGACGATACCTGTCGTAATGCCCCCCCCCCATCTCGCCTCCTTTCACTCCTTATGCCCTCTTCCTCCCCAGCGTTTTCCCCTCTGTCTCCGGGAAAGCAGCAGTTTAAGGGGGAAAAACAAGTGCGTGAAGCCAAGGAACAGGTCTGACCTCAGTTACTGGAACTAAGCAAGGAACTGTTTGAGTCTTTACAGTGTGGGTGTAAGTATAGATTTTTCATGGGTCTTATTCCCAATTACTAAATATTAAGTTGGAAGAAGCAACGTGAATTGCCAAGTAATTTAGGTAGTAAATCATCTCAAATTTTAAGAGTTTTAAGATTGCTTACAATTTCAGGAATGTCTCTTAAAACCTACATTTCACATCTGCGGTATTTTTGATGAAACTCCTAAAACCTAGATGGACATGTGAGGTGCTTGACTTGAGCTCGAGTAACTGCACCTTGTCTGTATGTGGAGACTGTTCTACACATTTGGTTGAATATTATTACGACCGATCTGGAAGGTAGATTTGAAAATGAGCCCACTAAGGCTTCACATATAACTGTATTGCAATGAAAATACTAAGAACATGAATCAGAGAGCGATCACAAATATCTATTCTATTCATTTGGTATGTATTCAACAAATACATGAACTTGAAAGCGTAGACAAATTTTGCTGGTGAAAAAGTTAAGAAATCTTTGTGTGAAAACTAGCTGAGCAGTCAGATCTGAAGGAGCAACAGTGTGGAGAGGAGAGCACCTTCCGCCTGAGCTGCCGGCTTAGGAGCAGCGTGCCTAATCACGAATATGTGCAGCGCGCTCTACAATCTGTGTGAATGAGCAAGAAAGTTTGCGCTTGAATCGCTGGCGTATTGTGTGTGTGAGTGCGTGTGCGTGTATTTGCGTGCGTGTGTTTGCGTGCGTCATACGTGCTCGAAGGCGCTGACTAATGAACTGACTCTCTAACGAGCCATCCTGCTCCACTGGCCTTTTCACAGTTTTCCTGGCATTTGGTCTTAAAAATAATTTCACGTCCCAATGTGTTTCCCTTAAACCGATAAGCCATGCTTTGTCTCCGCTGAATTAAGGACGATGACATTTACAAATGTTACTATGCCGAAGATGGGGGCGCAAAGAATGGGGGCTGGTGGGGAGGGGGGGTTATAATTGGAGACCAGGATAGAAGAGGTGGGGGGCCTTGCATCTTACAAGGGGCATTTTATTAAACCCAATTTGTTTTACATTGAAGAAAGCCTTTCAAGCGTTGACTGTTTTGCGGTCCTTGATTTAATAGCTACATAATTGCCGCAAATGCCAAACGCATCTGCATGTGCACGCAGGCGTTTCTTTGCGTATTTGTGCACGTGTGCGCTTGCGTGTGTGTACATTTATCATAAGCACTTGGGTGTATAATCCCAATAAAGGGAAAATAAACCTACTCAGCTTGGTTAGTGAGGCAGAGAGCTGCTGTGGCACTCGAACACACACACAGATATAGAGTAACACATGCACACACACAGCATCCTGACATATCCCTCCAATCTCATGTTGTTTTCCCCGTCTAGGGCCAAGACAACATGAACACCACTGAACCAGATTCCAACTCCACCTCTACACCATACACAGAAAATGTCCCTGTGTCCAGCCTGCCCACCACGCCGATGTCCCCCGCCAGCCCGCTGCCTCCATCCTATTCTCCCGGCGTCCCGGACCCAGAGTTCACCATCATGGTGGTGGTGGGCTTGTTGCTGGTGCTGGCGGGGTTAGCCGCCTTCCTGGCTGTGTGCCGGCCCTCAGAACAGGACGGCGGCTCCGAGGCGAGCTGCGGCCCGGGAGGGAGCTCGGCCCGAGGAGGAGGGCGGTCCAGCGAGCCCCAGCTCAAGGTGTGGAAGAGGCTGGGCTCATACCGGCGTTCGTACAACATCTCCTTCAGACGGCCGCCCCATCGCAGGCCGTACGAGCGGGAGAGCGCACAAGTGTGCCGGCCTCCGGCCCGACAGACACCACAGCCGGACAGCAGAATGGAGCCCCCCCTCACTACGCCTTGTCTATTTGACTATGTCACGGAAATATGACCAGAGGACAGGCGGGAGGCTGACTGACTGCTTCCCAAAACAAGTGACACACCGCCAAGGACATTATTGATAACTGTAAAGGGCGATGCAGAAGTCACATTTCTGGGACTGATCATTTCACCCCGTGCAGCAGGTAATGTTGTTAGGTATGGATGATGTTTTTTGCACTATATATAGAGTTAAAAGGAGTATTTAATCCAACAACGACTAAATTCATTAAATTCGCTCAGCAAGAATGTAATGCATCATTAAATTCACCGTCTGCACTGAAATAAATTCCCTCTGATTTAATTATATTCAATTTTTTCCAAGCATATGAAATAAACTGAACAGATGAAATACACAATAATTGTACAGACAGAATTCTTCCGGCAAGGCACTTGTTCAAATAATGACTTCTATTTTCATGCCAATAAATGGATTCATAGTGTGGGTACGACTACCTCTCTTCACACTGAAAATTGTCCTGATAAAGAAAATCCCCATCCATCTCATAAATAATGTGCATTAAGGCTATTGGTTTCATATGAAACACAATGGGTTATCAATGCGTTCATGACTGATGCAACCTGAGCCAAAGGGGGACCCCCCTGTGACTGATTCTTTGGGTTTGGTTCCTGTTGCTGACCGTGCGGTTTGTCCCTGGATGGGCATGGCCCAGGTGTGTTTCCTACCTTGAGGATGCTGGTCCTCTGGGGGACGCTCTCCAGTATGCTGGTCTCGTAGCTATTCTGTAGGAAGATGGGCCTGTTGTCGTTGACATCCTGCACCTCCACAAATACAGTCGCCGTGCCGGTCCTCCGGCTGCCCGCTGGACCGTTGTCTATGTGCACAATCATTCATGCATTCACAAAACACTTCCAATGCTACTATTCAGGTCCATGCTAATTTTGAGGCTAACTAATACCAGCTTTCATTTCATGCCTGTATATCTCTGGCTAAGGCCATTGATCTTTAGGAAATAGACCAAACCCCCCCAAAAAGCTTGTTATAAAGACAAACTGGAACATTTTTGGCTCTCCAAAACGTCGGTAATTAATTTTCCCCAGCCGCCCCCCCAAACAAGCATCAGTCCAAAACAGGAAAACATCAGAGTTTTTGTTATTTCTTTTCAAACTGGAAGAATGGAAGTTAAGCAATAGTCTGAAATCACAGCAGATGTGCCGACGGCACAAATTCATTATTGCTGTGCAATACGTAAGGAAACAGCTGCTTTGAACATCATGAAGAAAATTAAGAAAACATGTCCTATTATAACAAATGCAAATAAGGACTGTGTGGAAATTTGGATAATACTAGATGATAAAGGATTCCTATCACTATAAAAATAGCACACCTATAGCTTCTACAACCAGCGTGTATGCCTCCTGGGTCTCTCTGTCTAGGCCGACCACAGTCCGAACAACTCCGTCTCTGAAGCCCACGCTGAATTTACCATCCTGGTTACCACCTAAAAAATACAAAACACAAACATTTCCGAATCCATTAACAGCATATTAGTAAAACATTGCAGCTATGATACTGACAAAGGAACCATACACAAACTCACACAGAGACAGATAGCTGACAAAATATACTGTACGTGTGTACGTACGTCCACATAACTGTAAAACACTTTAGCCGACAGACACACAAAAACAACTCCCACTGTGACGTCTGACCTGTGATGAAGTAGCTAAGTTCGGCGTTGAGGCCGGCGTCGTTGTCAGAGCAGCTGAGGCGCGCTACAATGTGGTCTCTAGGCACATCCTCCTTCAGGGAAACATTGTACACGCGAGGGTTGAAGGTTGGCGTCTCATCATTTACATCCAGAACTGACCCACGCGCACAAACACACAGACAGAGAGACATGAGGACACACAGATAGACGTACAAGAGGACAAACAAGGCAGCAATGTGGCGCATGAGCAGAAGGACCGGTGTAAAATCAAAGGCATTCAGAGACAACGGAGCGGCTTCTTTGGTAGCTGGCTCAGGCTGCCGCCGACTCCCCTGTGATGTTAAGAGACGTGAAACAGATCTCAGCTAAACAGTCCACAATATGTTGATGACTCGTTTGAAAATGCAGTCCAGTTTTTCCATTCCTTTTCCACCATGTTTACAGCAGACTATTTAGCCCCGTTGTTTTTTACAATCCCACCAGCAGGTGGTAGCATCATTCTCAGCAGATTTTTGGGAAGTCAGGGCTTATCTGCATTAATGAGGTAACTCTTCCTGCCATCCTGAAACCAATCATACCATGGCTCGGCAGTTTTATACGTAGGGCAATTTCAGAGAGCAAAGGGAATTCAAACCCAGTTTCTCGTCATCAGCCATATCAGCAGACTCTTACTTGTGACTGTGAGGGTTGAAGTGGAGGTGCGAGGAAACTTCCCAGCATCGTATGCAATAATTCTCAAATGGTACTGTCCGATCTGCTCACGGTCCAAGACTGCCACGGACCGGAGGACACCAGTGGAGGTGTTCAGGTAGAAGTCGAGGCGAGGCATCCCCATCTGTAACGCCATTGTAATCAGTCCGTTTGCGTCCTCGTCTGGGTCCTCCACCTGGACCTAAAGCACAGAGAGACCCAGAGCAATGAGAGATGATACTATAATCCTTTTGTTTGAATGGCATAATACAAGAAAAAAGTCTCATATTTCACCCTAAAAACGGAGGATCCAATGGGCAGTCCCTCTGGAACTTCAGCCACAAAGGGCAGGTTGAGGAAGGTTGGGTCGTTGTCATTGAGATCCAGCAGGTTGACAAACACTGTGGCGCTCGCTGACGCATGCAGTGGAGTTGTTCCATCTGAAGAGGGCGCCAGAGAACACGTAAAGACGCACACGCCACAGCTCATGGTCAAAGGGGTTTATTAGCCCCAGTAAAGAGTTTCATCGTCAACATAAAACTTGAACTTCAACGTTTGAAGAAAGAGGCTAATCGTTCAGAGTTAAAGCTCTCCGCTGAAAATGATATAGACCTAGAGTATTTAAACTCGCTTACACAGGGTTCAGGTGTTTCAGGAATCAGGCCAATGTACACAGTGAAAGTGCAAACTGACATCCCAACCACACACATGCTACTCACTGTCAGCAGCGGAGATGATGATGGACCTCATGAGTTGCGTGTCCCTGGCGTTGGAGCTTTCCCTGTCCAGAGTCAGCCCACTGGTCCGGATCTTCCCTGTGCTGCTGCTGATGGTGTAGAAGGGGTTTTCTGGACTGATTCTGTACACCACTGTGCCATTTTCCCCATTGTCAGGGTCAAATGCCAACACCTGCACAGGGGAGGGACGGGAGAAACACGTTCTGATACTAACCCAGCAGGTGTGTTGGACTTCCCTATGTATAAGAAATATCCAGTTATACTACGAGGTTAAATGAGAGTGTTCAAGAGAAGAGGTTTAACAAATCGGGACAAGGAAGGATTTAAGATATCAGGAGAAAAAAGGGAAAGGAATCAGAGAGGGAAATATAATGACATTAAAAGTAATAAGAACATCCCCGTCCCACCCACAGAGCATCTTCACACCCAGTCTAGCTGTTCTAACACATCAGTCAGCTAAAAAAGAAAAAAGCTCACGTCTCGTTTCTGACACAAAGTGGCGTCGGGTGATGAATGTGTGAAGCCAGGAGCGCAGCTAAAACCCTGACTGATTCTTAAAGAGCTGATAAATTATTCAGTGAACTGACTAAAATCTCTGGAAACTGGTTAATTGGTCATTAGCGGAATAAAGGTTTTGCAGGTATTTAATAATTAAGGGAACATGGTAGGAAGGCATCTCAGAGGCCCATTGATTTGCAGACAAAGTTAGGTGATATAAGATGTGGGAAGGTATCAAGCCGAGGCCAGTTCAAATAATCAATTCTGGCCAGAGCAGAGCACATTAAGAGATGGTGAGCAAATATATTAGCCTTGTCCATTGCACGGTAGCCCTGGTCTCACTCCACAGTGGCAGAAAAGAAAATACTGCATTGAAATGAGTTATTAGAGGAGCTCACTATGTGTGTAGGCGCTGCTTGTGAAAGGCTGCAGGTGATAGTGGGTTGCTGGGATATGAAAGTGGGATGATCGTTGCACTGGGCACTGCGACCGAATTCAGCGGCTCGCTGGACACCTCCAGGAGAACTGAGCGGGTGGCCTCTTGTCACCAAAAAACTAAATACGGGTCAGGCCGGCGCTACATTTGGGCCAGTTACAGGACTGGGAGACCCGGTGGTTCGGTTCATTGAAAAATGTTCCCAGGGGCACCAGTGTCTGTCCACTAAGCACGGAGTCGCATACGGTCTGCAACACCCCGGATTAATAGGTGGGAAACGTAGCAACGATAACTTTCACTTCACCACCATTACACTGTCTTGCTCTGCAAGGTGGCTTCTCGCTTACTTTTCTGCCTGGCAGCTAAATCATTTGCTCTGCGCCTGACTGCAGGCTACATTTTAATTAGCAATCGGACTCCCTTAATTACACTCTCTGACGACTCCTTAAATAATGGACAATCAGGGCTTAATTAACAGCCACACATTGCCAAAGACACAAGGACGATGAGAGACTTTGGGGGTAATATTACAGTGTTTACTTAGCGATGACCTACGCAGTAATGGCAATTCATCCATCAACAGCAAAGGATTATGAATGCAGATGTGTCCTTCAACATGTTCTGTTTTTTATCTGCAGTACGCTGCCCAATAAAGACTGTTGCATTACAACAATCTTCACCCTTAAGTGTATGTCAGAACACGCTTTTTGCCTAAGTAATGTTTGCAAAGTCAATACCTCGTGTTTCCTCTACCGTGCATTCTACTCTAAAACAGATGACCATGATCGTTCCGGTGGGTTCAGAATTAGTTAACGATCAGCTTGTGGACCATTTGCCAGGTTGCCTGGTTTGTACTCACAGAGAAAACATCAGTGTTCATTGGACTCATCTCCACTATGTTGGTTAGGTATGGCTCGTTTCTCCACACAGGGGCATTGTCATTGATGTCCAGGATGGTGATGTTCACCTAAACAAAGTGGGAGTGAGGGGAATTAAGGTAGAAGGCCAATGAGCTACTTTTGATGTCATTTAAGAGAGCAATCTTTCTGCTATCTAAACGTACAGACATCCCAAATGACTATTAATTAAACAGCGGATAAGAAATTGGTTTGACGTGTGAGCTGTTGAAAGATGGCGCTCTAATGTGGTCACCGTGGCAATGCCAGTCTTTTGCTGAGGTCCCACCCCTCCATCCACCGCTCTGACTATCAGGATGTACTCTGATTTCAGCTCCCGGTCCAGCAGGGCCGTGGTGGTGATCTCTCCTAAAGAAAACACGTGGAATCAGATGATCAAATGATATATCAAATAAAAAAGCAACAGCCAGGGAAAGTGAAGGCCAGATATGTTTTAAGGTAACTCTCATGCCAAGATAAAAAGAAACAACAATGTGCAAACAAGCAGAGTAAAG